CGTGGTCTAGAGACAGATCGCTTACGAGAAATGCTTCACGTCGGGCTCACCAATGATGATGTCACAGGTATTCAGTGTTTGACAACGCTTCTACCAGGTGTGCGTGATCTCTTACGGCCGGTACGAAGACTAAGATAACGCGTGAGTGTGTGACATAAGTCGTTTATATCATTCTGAGTCGTTTGAGGTTTTTCTTTGACTGAAAATACCTCGGTAGTAGAAGGTTTCGTAATTTCTAAAATGCGGTCGGCAGATGCAGCTAGCTCGTCTAAGGCGTTGTTCTGGAACGAGACCAGAACTGCTTGCACCTGTTGGGGAAGTTTTGACAAGAAGAGTTGTTTGAATAGACTTTCGTCGAAAGTTCTTCGGCCTATAACCTCTCTCATCCGTTGCAACATGTCTGTCGCAGAACCGTGTTGCAGGTCGATGTTATTGAAGAGTCGATCTAACCTTTGTCGATCGGTTAGGTCTCCTCTTTTAAGAATCGAACGTTTCAAGGTTTCGTAAGGGTCAGAAACATCACTAGTAAACATACTAGGTGTTACGTACCTGTTGAATTCGCGCGGTAGTGCCTTGACTACTGCGAGGAATTGTGCACGTGTGTCGATCACGCCGTGCTCGGAGAAGTCGGCTTCTGCGTAGCAAAACCAGGCTTCGATGTTGTCGGGCCAGAAAGGCATGAGTTGAAACGAAGGCGGGGACAAAGTCTTAAGCTTGAGTACTTTAGGTGTCTGTTCAGTCATGATGAAGTATGAAGTACGATAATGAACGAGGGGAAAAAATATATATATCCAAGAAAAAAAACACGAAAAAAATCACAATGTTTAAAAAAAAATAAAAAGATAAGGCAATGATATATAAAAATCCCAAAAAGGAACAGACTCACAGTTGCATTTGGGTGTACCAGATCACGTCGGGCTCACCAATGATGATGTCACGGGTATTCAGTGTTTGACCACGCTTCTACCAGTAACACCTTCTAATATATTTCGTTCCCGCCCAGAGAAATCAAAAGACAGAGTCGAGGAGATCGTAAGAGTATATTTGGCGATGACCAATATATCGGAATTCTCTGATCTAATCTGGCTAGCGATTGCGGTTGATGTTGAGCACGGCGTCACCACACGTGATCTGGTGCGGATGCCTGACCGAGCGCCTTCAGCTAGGTGAGTCCACTAAAACATATGGTCAGCATCCAATGTCGAAAACTTAGTGCTATTTATTTTGGGGATTTATTTACCGCTACAACCCCTAACGTGTTCATTTCTGTTTCTATGATCATCCTGATTAGGTTTAATCTCAATTTCAACACTTTATCTTAATGCATTTTACTCGATAACGTATGGTCATTATCGAGTTTATTGCGAGCTTTCTTCTAAATTGGTAATATCGCCTAGTGCTTATCAAAGTTGTATGTTCTGCAGCTATGAAGTAGGCGAGACCTCTGTACGTTAAAAAAGAAATATACTGTACAACAGTTCGCTCTATTTTGTTCGATCCTAATGAAGTATATCCTATGAAAGTGGATATTTATAGGCTAAAAGTTTTCGATCGCAATTATCTTTGAAATGTTACTTGGATATCGTAAAACAAATAACTGTCCATTACCTAGGCAATGCAGTAAAGTACTAGTCACATGTAACAAGTTAATTTTTGACCAGAGTATGAGTAGATTGAAAGAAAGCTAAGAGAAGCCAAACTTGGTATCCGTGTATGAAAGTCATAAACAGTTTGATCTAGCTCATATTGGTATTTAGAGACTACCCCTGGATAGAGTTCTACATGGTAACTACGAAAAACAAGATTCTCCGTTGCAACAACCGGATCACACTTGACGGAGAAGATTTGGAAGATGTAAAAACCTTTACATATATGGACAGCATCATTGATGAACACGGTGGATCTGATGCAGGTGTGAATGCGCGGATCGGCAAAGCAATAGCAACATATTTACAACTGAAGAACATCTGGAACTCAAAACATCTATCAACCAACATCAAGGTCAGAATTTCCAATACAAATGCTATGACAGTTCTAATTTATGGGGTGGAAACTTGGAAAACTACGAAAGCCATCATCCAGAAAATACAGGTGTTTATTAACAGTTGTCTACGCAAAATATTTCGGATCCGTTGAACAGACATTATCAGTAACATCCTACTATGGGAGATAACAATTCAAATCCCAGCTGAAGAAGAAATCAGGAAGAAGCGCTGAAAGTGGATAGAACACACATTGAGGAAAGCACTCAACTGTGTCACAAGGCAGGCCCTCACATGGAATCCTGAATGCCAAAGGAGGAGAGGAAGACCAAAGAATACATTACACCGAAAAATGGAGACATATATGAGAAGAATGAACAACAATTGGATAGAACTCGAAAGGAAGGCCCAGTACAGATTGGGTTGGAGAATTCTGGTCGAAGGCCTATTCTCTATTGAGAGTAACAAGCGTACGTACGTCAGTAAAGTAAATAATATCTGTATTATCTTCATCTTTTTTCTTTTCGAACCATATTATTCTGTATTTGATGTTTCTCATTATTATTATTGATGCTACTACTATTATTTCATCTCTTTTTGTTGATAGGACAATTTGATCTTTAACATAATTTTGTGTTTACCAGGGTCCACATTGATTATGGCTGATTACTTAATTTTTTTTAGTTTTGTTTTTCCTTGGTAATTAATATTTTTTAAAAATAATAAACATCATACTTATATGAATGAATTACTTAATGAATTAATTAAAAATCTTACAAGTTTATCAAAAAAAATTTTTTTTTGTCTTCAGGTAGAAACTACAGTCATATGACTTTTTATTTTTTTTCTTTTTCCAAAAATCTAAGGATCTGTAAATGTTTTACTTTTGTATGAATATTATTTTATGAATAATGATTTATTGCCATTTAAGTAATTGTTTTTGTTTCTTGTTTTTTTGTAATTTTTTTTTTGGTATTTTATTTGATTGTAACTAATTTTGACGCATGTTTACTCTTATTTTAATGATTATAATTACTATATTTAGTTATGTTGTTATGGAATATAAGTTGTTAATAATAAGATACATAAGTATATATTGATTAGCAATTATAATTTAGTTAATATAATTCTTATTTCAATTAACTAATCATTTATGAATCCTACTGGATGGAGATAAAATTTGGAGAATGATCACAACTATTATGAGAATAGTATATGTATTTTTATAAACTATTGTCTAGATAAAATATTCAATGTTCGTTGTTGGCCAGATATCATCAGCAACAATCTATTGTGAGAGAAAGAGAGAGGATAAATCAATATCCAAATGAAGAGGAAATTAGAAAAAGGTATTGGAAATGAATAGGATACACATTGAGGAAATCATCAAACTGCATTACAAAGAAAGCCCTAACTTGAAATTTTAAAGGTGACCGGAAGACCAGAGGAAACATTGTTAAGAATCGGAAGAAAATATGAAAAGGATGAATAGCAAATGGATAAGATTGTCCAGGACAGAGTTGAATGGAGAATAGTGGTGAGCAGTCTATTCTCCTTCACGAGGGGTAACTCGCAAAAATGAATGAATGAATCATTTATGAAATCATATTAAAATAATTATAAATTATTGCATGCATTTGATTGGTCTTTGGATCTTTACAGCCTTTCAGAAATAACTCTTCAATTTGATGTATTTACATATTAGTATCTATTGTCACTGTCAACATATTTAAGAAAGTAATTACTTCCATTAAGATTTCGGTTTGTATTTAATAAATTCATGTAAACTGTCAGCAATGAATAAAATAATCTCAATCAAAGAAATGTTTTCAGAACATTTGTAACTCTTTCAGTTCTAGTATCTTAACCGTAATTATGTATTCTTACTAATTTAATTGATGAAACTTTTATATTTGAAGGTAAAGATGCATTTGTCACTGCATTCATTTATCACTTTATATATCTCAACTGAACTTACAGCCCAAATTTCAAAGAGTAATTCACGGAACTGTAACTAAATTCGACTGAGACATTATTGAAACTTTGATTTCAGAAAAATATTTCTCAATAACCTTATATTATTTAAATGAGTATATAAATTCAGACTGTTAGTCCATCAGGCTTTTCATATAAGAGCTTAGTCGTAAATAGAACATCCATTTGGTATTATATGATATTTAGCTTCGTGCAATATTATATTTTACTATTCCAAGATATATGATAAAATTGATTAATTGTCTTCAGTCGAAAACTGGATGTTTAATCTTGTCAAATATTCTTCACTTTGTATGCCGAACAAGTAGGTGGATCATCCTCATCAATAAACTTAATCTTTTACATAAACTTGTACTTGATTAATGAGTTGCATGACAAAAGGGAGTTCATATCAAACAACCCTATCAGAAACAAACTTGGATGAAATATAAGTTGGAGATATTAACAAAGCAAGACTTTTGAAGTTATAAGTGATGTGAATAGACTGGGAAAATGTATGAAGTTCCTAATGTGATACTTGATCTTTGTAACTGGTATGACTTTTTGACAAAGTTAGTGTACTTCATCGCACATTTTAAAAGTAGATATCAATTCGCTTTATTCTTTTCTAGTACGGTATAATATTTTTGTGTTTATTGAATGGACTGCCTGGGACAGAATTCGATGGAGAATGCCGGTAGGCAGCCTATACACCTTCACGAGGGGTAACAGATGTAGGTAACTCATAAGTATCTGTTAACTCAACGCACAGCTATTTCGTCGACTGAAAATCAATTAGTTTGACTGATCGATGTAGTTGCTATCTTTAAGTCTGTGTTTAGTGATGAAGCTGGTGTTATTACTGTAAATATGCGTTATCAACTGAAACATATTATTACATATTGTGGGACGCGTGATACACAATTAAAAGTTCAAATTCAGTCGATCTTGAGTGAATTTCATAGTAAGTTATGAGAAGATTCGCTGTATGAAACGTCCCCACGATTCATCAATATGAATGGGTTTCAGAATATCAAATGACTTTGAAATCAAGTCCATATATATTCTTAGTAAGAAACCTTTGAATTAGTTGACATTACAAATAATCTGTTTTAATTTTCTTGTAATGATATGGTGACTTCGACCAACAAGCATTTTTATCATGACAATTCAACATCAGTTGTAATGAATTTATATCTAATAAGGTAAAGCTAAAAGTTAAAATCGAGAAATATCAGGCATTTCTAAACTCCACTTAAATCATTACAGAATCTGACGGGTTAATGGAACTCATTTGAAGGAAAAACAGTATGTCATGAACATCTAAATGTGCAATTACTAACACATACGCTATAGAATCTAAACCTGATAAATTAACGAAAAAAGGTGTTATCTGAGTGAAATGAATAGAGTATTTAACAAGACTGCATTACAGAAAAATATAATTTAGTGAAAGAATGAAAATTACTAAAAAGCAAAAATTATTTGTGAAAAACCAAACAAAAATAGTATGGGAAATATTGTAAAAAGAAATAATAAAAATGCATTCATTGAATAGCACTGATAACAGAAAGGAGTGAGCTTTTATTGTTGAAAAACGTTAGTTTTATACAAAATCGCATATTTAACAAAAAAAATTAGTTTTTATACAAGAAACCTATAGGACAAAAATATATTCCTTATTTGATGAGAACAAATAACAATAAAACTGAAAACGTTCAAGTTTAGGCAAACATAAAGAACCTGAGAGTGGAGATTCCGACATCAAAAATTTGAAGAGACAATTGAAAGAATGTCGGTCAAGAAATTTTAAAATCTATAGAGAGTTCACATTCATTGCTGCTTTTCCAGCTTGCTGTAATAAGTCTCGTGATGTAAGAATACACGATGTAGCAATAAGTAGATTCCATCTTCTCCGTTTAGCAACAAATCTAAGAGCTGCAACTTCACCATATGTACAACCGCCAGGAAATGCTACGACAATAGGTTGATCAGTGCTTATGAGAGGTAAAGGATGTGGAGCTGGGGCATTTGGACGGTTATTCTTAAAAAATATATCATGCTGATATCCTGCAGCTGTTAATGTTGGATCACAGAGATTAACGAGACCCAGATTTGAAGCAACTTATGGGATAAAAAGAGAAAATACTTTAACTTGATTTACAAAAATCTACTTATTTGCGGTCTCTAGAAAATAATATTTCAACAGTTGAAGGTTTGACTGTGTATTAGAATAATAATAATATATAAAATGACGGGATTATAAATCCATTATTATGATTAGTGTGCAAAATACATGTATCATGGAATTAGAAAATCACGTACTGTAGAAGGTAATTATTAAGTAAACTAATTCCGTTTGCGAAATTGTATTCACTTAACGAGTATTTTTGCAATGATAATAATAAACCAACTAAACTAAAATAACTATGAGAAGTGAAAGTTTACGTTAATAGTTGTTTCACAGATATCTCAGTCGATTGTCAAATTATGTAAGTGAAGTAAAAACTTCAATACAGTAGAATTATTCCCTGTGAAATAGTCTTTGAATTAAAAAGATTAATAGGTGTTTGATTTCTAGTTGAACCCTTTGTTATGGAATAAAATAGAGAAAATCATAAGAAGAATGATGTGAAAATTTCGGGAAAAGTTATATATAATATAACGTATGCAACTTATACTGATAGATATAAGTACTATGTAGCAGCAATCTGAAGTGGGATGCCTGGCAGCGGAAGATTGAATTGAAGAGAACAGGAATGTAAAACGAGAGCAATTGTAATAACAACAGAATTGAAAGAATCATGAAGAATGTAAAAGACAACTGAAGGAGGATGTGCAAATAACGTATTTAATGTACGGTTTTCATATTTAATGACAGCACTTTGTAATGAGATACTACTGAAAATTAAAAGAAACCTACTTGTATACTATTTTAACAAGTTATAAGTAACTTCACAATCTACTCACTTATAGAACCAAATCAATTAAAGAATCACTAGAGATTTAATAAACAGTTATTGTTTTTATTTCATTTCAAATATATAAGCCGTGAAAATACTACAATTTCCATAAATACCCGTACTAATAATAATCTTCTCAAAGGTGACTAGCTTCAAGATGGGTTTCCTGGAATTCTAGAGAGAAACCGTGACTACTGAAGTCCAGTCTGTATCGGGTGTGAGACAGTTATCCATCTCCAACAAGGGATGAAGGGTTATGCAAGATCATGGATCAATTGAAGTTAGACATTAACATCATTGGATGCCAGCTCAGTGGTCTAGAGGTGAAATGTTCGTTCAATAAACCGATGTTCTGGGTCCGAGTCCTGCGTGCGGGATCATGGGTGCGTACTGTTGAGGAGTCACATACTACTAAAGACAATGGGATACAAATTAGTCTTTCTGTGTGGAGAGGGGGAGAGTAAAAAGCAATGGTTAGCATAGAATAATAATACTAACTTTATATTTATGTCAAGCTATCGTTAGCCATAAATGGTTAAATATATAGGAGCTAACTGATTGAACTGATGAAAGAATTTTAGTGTGATATACATGATATTGTATATCTCTATACAGAGTTTTCAAGTTGATAGTAATAGGCAATAGAACTGTTTATAAACGCAAAGCAAAAAATGTTTCATACAAATTCAATTTGCTTTATTGATCTGATTCAACAAAATGATATAGTAAGAATGGATTTGTACTGATGATGATACATGAATTACTGACTAATGCAATTGTCACTTCATAAATCTTGTGCTACTGACTAGCAGAAATGTGAAATGACATCGTCTAACCTATGACTATGAAGATTTATTGTTTAGTAGAAATAAAACTCTCAACATACATATTACATAAACATTGGTACAAGAGGGCACCAAATGCATATGGGTCACACAGTTATCATATATTTTTGTGAGGACTGTTATACTACCCGGGCGCCCAAGCCGAAAATAACAATGAAAAATAATTGTGAAATTTATTTTGATTGCCCTAACCGCAAAATAAAGTGTTTCAATTAAATTATTCAAACTACCATAACAGTACAAATCAAAGGTTGATGTAGAAAGTTTGTTTTTATTTTAGTTATCACTTGACAGTTTTAAAATATTGATTTCTAATCTAATTAGTTAAGAATATAAGGCTTACAAAATATCAAGGAACTCCCTCTTTGTAACTGACACTATAAGGAGAAACATACCTTCAGATGGAAGACCCATTCGTTTAAGTGCTTCGATTAATTGTGGCTGGGCAATTAGTTCAAAGTCTGAATGATTTTGCTCAGCAGAAGAAGAGTTTGATTTAACAGATTGAAATTTAGAATCTAGAAGACCAGCTGACCAAACAGACTCTAAAAGCCGAACAACTAAGGGACAATGTTGACCAGAATAAACATATGTAGGTGAAATAACCGTACGATCAACATGTCGATTGGCCTGATTCCAATTGCTCAATTGTAACAAATGATGTAGATAACTGAGAGGAAAAAAAGTATTAAAAAATATTTATTTGATTAAATTATCAATGTACCGTAGACTAATTTATTAAAAAAGGGAAATAATACCTTGGTTTACTAATTAGATAGGAAGATTTGCAAAAATTTCATCGTATAACTAAAATTAGTTACGTCATTTAGTTGCATAAACAGTAGTAAATTCAGAAGAAAAAAAATCTTATGTGTCAAGTGAGACTAAGTTGCGATTGGTTACTGAGTGAAGACATATATCCGGCTTTATTAAACACAAAGATCATTTTTATACATCATACAGTTGATTTCTACACGGGTTTCACTGTGTTGATTACTTGTAAATTGTGTTAATAAACTATTGTCTACTTTAATGTGGTTCTCGATAGTTGGTTGGATATTGAATTTCTGAGTCACGCATCTCGTAAAATACTGAGACCGATGGAATTGCTGAGTTCTCTGAACTAGTTAGTTTAATTGTTGGTCTAGTCCCTTGATCAATATTATACCATATTATCTAGTATCCTAGTGATAGGATCGCAAGAGAAAACAATGGTTTATTCTGTTGTAAGCTAATCACAATCTTCATCAAAATATTTCAGTTGATAATTTCCATGTGAAGGCTTGTATGTTTCCATAGAAGTGGGACACCATAATAATTAACTACAGCGAAGTCATCTTACAAGTTTATTTAGATTTTGTTGTAAAGATGGTGTACATCTAAACAACACAAAAAAACAGAGTATTTAGTCTTTATAAAAACGATTACAGTATTGGTGTTTCCGATTGACCTATGGTAAATGCTATTGTTTACGAACGATTGAAGATCTTTCTGATACGACGAAAAATATAGGTACAGACCGGTGGTCTGTCAAATAACAACACCTCAAAGTTAGTAATCCGTACGCTAATAGAGATAGAGAAGACAAGATTTACCAGATATATTCCGTATAGAAGTCAAAAATTGAACAGGAACAACTCTATTTTTACAGCAACAATCAATCACCCTGGGACACAACAAAAATTGTAAATTAAAAGTGATAACAACCAAGTAGGTGACAACAAATGGTACAGCAGAAATGAACTAGGAAAATGTCATTAACACTATTCTTCAGACAAAGAACTAGAATGTAATAACTAAAAACCGGGTAACCTGATCTATTTTCAACAGACAGAAAAAAAATTAAAACTTGAATAAGTTGAAATGAGAACATCAGAAAGCAGAAAATGTAAATAGTATGTAAACTATGGTAAGTGCAATAAAAAATAAATACATCTGTACTATGACTGACTGTTATTAGAAAGGAAGGTCAGTCAAGATTGCTATTTAACCGAAATTGGTCTATGGTTTGAAGTATTTTAAAACTGAACAATTTGGACAAACCTCAGATTAGAATATCAGAACTGTTCTATACTTAAATTTGATGTTGTTATTTAGCTTTCAATGTCACATTGAGATAGGATAACATTAAAAATCTTTAGTTTAGTCAACTTATTATTAGATTTACTAGGATGAAAGTCAATTAGGAACCATTTACGGTTCTAAGCTCAATACAAAATGATGAACAACTGAATACGAAAAGCGTTTGTTCCCTTCCCTACACGCAAATGCTTAATGAGATAACCTTTTGGTTCAACTAAGCCAGAGATACTCACTGAGGACACTGGGTGATGGAAACGATACACTGCTAATTAACAGAAGTTGAAGAGTGTGAGGAGAATGTCTGAATAGTGACTGATCCCTCTAAAGTTGTCATGACTCATCATTTGTTTTCTGAGTGAGGACAGATGAATAATAATATCATATTACTACTTATTCATCAGATACGGCAAATATTGAACCAATCCAACCCATTTAGAGCATTGAAATTTAAAAAATCTTACTTGTAACGAGATTTTTGACGTTGTGTTAATTTTAGCTTGGCAACAGTATGAGTTAGTGCATGACTGGACTTTTTTGTTAGGTTATTTGTTTGCGCCACAAAAATGCTTGATTGTGGGTCAGTTGGATGATTGTTTGTAACAGATTTTTTTGCAGATGATATTTCCGGGAGTTTAGAACGGGGATATAATAACCCAAGTGAGGATAACGCTTCAAGCATAGGGAAGGTGATTTGACCAGCAGCATGTATTATGGCGCGACTCATTACCTCGTATAATTCATCACCTAAGCCATCATGTAAAACACAATTCAATGCAACCAGACGGAGCCCATCAATTAGATGATCACCATGGCTAAAAATGTCAAATAAAAATCAGTAAGCCTGAAGCAAACGGATATATATATTCATATTGTGAACATTAGGTAATTAGAAACAATCTTATAAGGCAGATCAACTAAGTCTAGAAGTAGATGACATTAGAAAATAAACAAAAAAGTGGATTCGCAATGGATGACCATAAAGAATAATGCGAATCGCGTCTAAGCCTAAGAGTGAAAACTTCAGAAGTGATTTAAGATAATTAAGTATATTATTATGATACGAAAAATTGATAAAGAGAAAAATACATTAATCGAGGTTATATTGTACACTTGCTGATTTTCTTCTATGGAGAGGTTGGGATAATTGAAGATTGTGTAAAGGATAATAATCGGTTGGTTAAAATACACAAAAGATTGATCCGAAAAATCTTCAGACGGCTGAAAGTAAAGTCAAAGCAGAGACAAGTCAACTTTTGAAAGAACTAAAGTAAGTCATCGACAACTTTTTATGGTTCCTTTTATATCCCAAATTATACACTACATCACATTTCTGTATTTTACCCGAAATTCATAAATCAGACATCCCACTGAAACCTATAGTGGACTTTACAAGCACGGCTGTGTATTATCTAAATATCTGGGCAACATATTAAAGCCACTTTAATACAACTTACATAATGTAATTAAAGATTCCTATGATTTTAAGTCACGAATATCGGAATCAATTATCGAAAAAATGAAACCATGGTAAGCTATGGTTTCGCATTCTAATACATGAGAACTCCTATTGATATATGACTAAACTTTATTAGCGGTTTACCAGAGAATGTTAATAATTTATCTGCCAGATGTCTTTCAAGCATAAGTCTAACCATGAAATCCCTGCAACCGTACTTAAATTCGACCTTATTTACATTCTATGGGACATTATAAAAGTAAACAAACGGGGTGGCAATGAGGTCCCCCCGTGTCCACGATTGTAGCTAACTTGTTTACGTCACATATGGAATCAGATATCTTCGCCAATGACATTAAATCACAAAATTGGCTCAGATATATGGATGATACTTTTGTTGTCATTAAAAAGACTTTCCTACGAACTTTTTCTAAACTGATCAATACACTTTCGTCCTACATTAAATTTGCTTACGAGGATGAAAATGAACAGAGATATTCGTTGGTGTAGGATTTTAGATGGAAGCGGAACTCCTGAGAGTTTATGAAAAAGTGACTTCCTGAAATTTCATAATAGAAGACAGTCATGGAAATTCGAGTGATTTTTATATAAAATATGTACGTGAAAGAAAGCGTCACCCTCAGAGACCAACAACTTTTCAAGCTACACGAGAGTTTATTTCGAGGTAACGTTTACCTGAACGATCGGAACTTTCAGGTCAGTTTAAACTTGATTGTCTCTATTAAATAGGTGATTTTGAGACGTTAGCTACACATATCATTGAGCTGATTAGAAAGTTCTCAATCTTCTTTCGAAACGGTGTTTTGGTAAGAATACTTGTGGAATCTTTTAGTATTGACGACAGTACTGCCATAGACAATGCGTTATCTACCAACTTTCTGAAAACACATCATGCATTTTCGAATACATATAATACGCAATGTTCTTTGGCGGGTACGTTTACTGCGTTTAACTAACAACTTACTCATAGAATATCTCACGTGAGATCTTTCGAGCGTCTAGAAAAGTCGTGTTCCAAAGAAGTCCAAAATTATTGGAAATAAGAAGCCGTATCAATGCGAAAGCATATCAGTTACTGAAATGCATGCAGAAGTTTGTCAAATAATAAGATTATTAGATGTTCGAAATGCACCACATTCAGTCATTTCGTCTATTACGCGAAGACCGCTGACGTAATTTAAATAGTCGTTTTTGAATAGAGTAAAACTATGAAACGTGATGAATCCAACGCACTCTTTGGACAGGAAAACTGTTATAACCTGTGATCTGCGTGCCCTGTATATTGGATCACGCAACGATACCGCCAATCAGAGAGCCGCACAAGATATAACAATTGGCGACGGGGTAGAAAAAAAATCCTGAACCCTCATTTTCAAAGTCAGCCTGTAATTGAACGAAATTCAGTCTAGTTATTTCGAGCAATCAGCATCTAGATTTGTCATCGGTGTCCCTGGAAGACATTGGTTGTTAATTCATCATACAGTATATCTCATTATCGTGCTGATTCAGAAAATGGCTATCTCTCCCCATTAATTACAGTTGATATTTGAGCGACAACGGCAGCGTTTCAAAAATAGCCAGTTGAATATTTTGGACGATTTACGCACATGGCTGCTAAATCATCCATGTTTTGGAGATGTAACAGGAGTTGATAAACTAATTTCTGATTTGCATACCGAGCTGGAAAATGACTGCAGAACGTATGAATGTGTCGATAAAAGCCTCTATGAATCCTTGACAAGCAGTAATGTAAGCGAAGCAGTCATTCATGATCCGCCCAGTGATCCAGAAATGTCTATTTCAGAGACATGCCATGTCATGGATTCAAATCCCATTGCCCCAGAAACACCATGTACAAACACTGACTTGTCCAGCTCACAGAAAGTCGACGTCTTGCTAAATGCTCATTAAATTATTGCAGTACCTGCCCACAAAGAGACCGAAAATGAATCAAGCAGCATAATGAAGACAGTTGCATCAAACGGAGCTCATCATTCCAGAACAAAAGTTCCTGACGAATCTGCTCATTTGGGTCCTCTAGTTATTTTACCAGATATGTGTTATCTTAATGACTCACATTCTTTTGATCAAATTTCTTACAAAAATAAGGAATGTTTGTCGGATGCATCAAACGACGGTCAAGAACCTAATAAAATGTTGATAGATACTGATTATTCTAGTGATCGACTATCTACTAATGAGATTTTCAAGAAATTCGATGACAATGTTTCAGAAGAATCAAACTTTCATGACCTTATATCAAGCGTCGCTGATCCTCACCATTTAATCACTTTTAGTAAATTCTCTGTTGAATGTGACAATTGTGTTTTAAATAAAGTCAGATTAATTGTAGCTTGGGAATATGAGGATCCAACACTGCTTCGTGGGGGAGGATAAACCCAGCAAGTTTAAAATCCGGATCTTCAAAAGGGGGAGGTGTTATATCCCGATAAGAATAATGAATGATAATTCTTGGAACCGATTTATGGACCAATACTATGAGTATATTTTTATCGTATAATTGTCATGTAACTAAACTGTTCATATTCATGTCCCTCTCATTATGAGTTTTATTTTGACCTATGAACTATTATTATGGGATTTACCATTCTTGAGTTATGACCTATCTATTCATTACTATCTCCCTCATTCACAGCCACTTTTGGCCAAATATTGTACAAATGTTATTTTCTATTTTATGGTACTTTGTGGTCTGTTTGATTGGTATATAAACAGAGTATGTTTGAAATAAATGATTCATATTGCAGAGGCTGAGGTTTGGTGTTCTGGACTCAACTGGCTGGGATAGACACGGAATCGAGACCAATCAGGACTCTAGGCTGCTCGTACGTGTTTTGTGCGTCACTGGTTCGATCGATAATTCGCTGTCCTCTGATTAGCGGTATCGTTGCGTTATCCAATATACAGGGCACGCAGATCACAAGTTATAATAAAAACGATGTCTATATCTATAATCCATTTTCAGTGGCATTACAACACACTGTTCACTATCACTACGTGAGTCTCTACGATTACTTTCATTATATGCTCTATTACTTTGATAATAAGCATACATCTTTGATAGTTAACATTTTCATTATTGAATAGTTAGCTCAGTAACATAGATGTTAAATACCATTGTCTTAACTGATTACTAATCACTGTTAGATACTTTGAGAATTGATTTTTCCAAATAGATGAGCCGACTGTTAATACAACTCAAACCACCCACTATCCACGAGACTTAACCAATCGAATTGCGAAAAAGGGTAGGTACTAGTGAAACAGTAACTATATTTATGTCTTGAAAGTAGAAATAAGCTTAGATTACAAAATACGTTGAAGGAATACACTATTTACAATAGTTATAAAAACAGTGCTTTAGTGTCCATATGCATTAAACTTCCAACAATCGTATCACGCTCCATTTATTTCGACTTGAACACACGAAAAACGTAGCTCAAAGTCAAAAGATTTATATGAACTAATTCAAAATCAACATATACGATGTAGTGGAAAGGTAACGATAATATTTTTTTGAACGATACGGGTCCGATTACTGAACCTGAACTTTAATTTTCATTACAGTGGGAATGATTTAGTATGCAGTTGATTTATAAAGGCTGTACATAACTCGGTATGGTTAGGTTATGGTGTACTTGGACTTTGGGGGTTAATTTCGAACCAACTACAGTCATTCATAAACTTTAATTCGAACTGAGATATTATCTCAAGTCAGAAAAAACGAATTCCAACGACCAACGTAAATAAAATATTATGATTGACTGAATATATAAAGGTGACTGAATGAAACTATTGTAAACAATTTATCCCTTCATCGCAATATTATAAACTGGATGTGCTGTTAGCATCAACTGGAACTACTCAACATGAGCACTCAAATAGATATAAGTTTAATCTCTACCTCGCTCCAACCCCACTGCTGGGGATGTTGAACCATCATGGGACCACCTATTACCGAGTCGTTAGCTATTTTTATTTCGCAAATCTGAGTCTATTTTCGTACAGTCAAAACTACCTTTAGGATTAATCTTTCATTCTATTGCCTTTAAAGATGCCATTTTTTACTGGTCCGTGCCTCATTCAGTGTGTTAAATGTTTACCCTATTTCTAAAGTCTTTTATGCGTATACATTGTTTACTGAAGAGAATTTTCTTTGATCTATGTCAATAAATTTCAGAGTAACTGGAGTTAAAAAAGGGGGTTGTGAAATTCAAGTTTCAAAACGAAGTTTAAAGTTATTGTCATTCACACAAGATAAATCACTCATATAGGCTTATCTAACCATTTATTATCCACATATTAGGAATGATTTATCAAACAAGCTACAGACAATAAATTAACAAAAATCGTTGAAGATTTAGCTTGACTATGGTTCAAGTTATAAATGATCAACACAGTATCTTGAGTTATTATTTATAGCTATTTATATCTAACATATGATTCAGGGAATAACATCGATCGATACAACGGAATTATTTATACCAAACAAAAAATCAACCACTAAGTGAAGCTTATTATCATGGAACTTCGGAATAATCCATTAAACCGTTCATTCCCCCATACATTGTGTATATCATACGTGAAACACCTTTTCTTAACTATTGAACAAATTTGATAAAGTCAGAGGTCATTTGGATTCCCCTGGGAACACCACAAATAAATAGATTCAGTATCCTATTAGTTTTAACCTATGTAGGTTTATTTCTAAACAACATTTCTTTTCAAAACCGAACTGTAAGAAATTAGCTGAATAATACAAACTATTGTAAAAGTAATAACAAATGTTGGTAAAATTAAGTTTTTGACGAAGAACTTTGAACAATTTACAGATTTCAACTCACTGTGTAGTCAACCATTCGATAGCTAAACGCATAGGTAAGGAATTTAAAACATCTGCTAAATTACCACATGAACCACCAATTGAAACTGGAGTAAATTTTCGGTTACGATCAGGAGCATTAGAGTCACCATCATCATTTTCATCATCAATAGAGGGAATTCCAACTTGACCAATTGCAAGAGATCCCCCGCTACCGGATTGTAATAATAAACTTTGTGCTGTACGTAGATCTTCCACACGTTCTTTAATTGTCATTGCACATAATACTTGTTCTAAACATGCTAACAGAAATGACAATTCACGTCTTTTAGCTAAAAATGAACCTAGACGTGTACTAATATTCCGCAAATTACAGGTGTTATTAATAGTACTAGTAGTCTGAATTGAGTTTGAATTAGAATGCTGTTTATGCTGAACAACAGATTTTTGACTAACCAATTGCATTTCTAAATCACCACGTGAATCTTGAAGTTTACCACGCCAATCCAGAAGTAATGAATGAACACGAGATATATGGACATCTCTAATATCCTTCAAAAAACGAAATGAATAAAAAGTTATTTTCAGATGAATATTAACGACATTTAACTCAGATAGAATCATTATCAGAAAAGTCTACACAAATATATCATACTGATTCAATTATATCACTGGGGCGATATAAGTATAACTATAGTCAGTCATTTGAGTCAACTGTTTTTTTATGTTACGTAAATAGATAGTGAGTTTCAGTGAAGACGTTCGAAACTTAATAAATTAGTATGAAGTGATTTAAGCATGGAAAATTTATTTGTATGAAATGACTAGGATTTTTATTTCATTTATATGGGACCAGTAGATAAATAATATATAGTGGTTATTTACTGGTACAAAATCTGTCTTGTAGGAAAAATGATATTTCTGTACAAAGTTGTTGCTCGCTAATTGTACTTTGTAAATACAAAGTATTCTAAAGTGATCCAAAGTGTACTAAACTGATGCCAACAACATTATTTATACGGATACTTTATTATAATTGGGTTAGTCAGAAGAATGATGCACAGAAAGATGGTAATTACTATAATTATACCTTATTATTCATAAACTCAACTTTTTCCTTAGTACAGACAGCAATAAGAGAAGAAGGTATCACACTAAGTGCAGTCGTCACATACAACTAAGTAGTCCAAACAAGTAAATAAGGTCGAGTTTTGTTAGCATAATTCAAATTGGTAATGTGAGGTGTAAAAATTTGTAGCTTCATAGATCCTTAACTACACAATGTTTGAACATGAATGATAAATGTATAGGCACGAAGTTCTGTCAGAGGCACACTTCATAAAATTAAAAACTAGGAACGACATATAAGGAAGCATACAGCAAACTAACTGCCCAGAGATAATCGTTACATTATTCATGAAATACTGATAAATTAAGGTATGGATGGATCATTGAAACACATATTTTAACAATAAGCAAAATGAAATAAAATTGCTATCTAGGAACTTAGATTATGAGTGATTAGACGAAATACACGAAATCACACAACTTAAACATTGAACACAATCACTGGTGAGTTACTCTTTTACTTGTAATGCTCTTAATTTTACAAGTCACTGTTGCCCTCTAGGACGTTGAAAAAAAATACACTGACGTTAGGTACCAGTGAGTACACCATTATTAGCGAATGAAGTGGTTTTACGGTACATTTTCTATATTTTGGAGGTCATTTTCATCTTGGACTATTGATGATTCAGTGACCCTATGTGATTGAACCAGCTACAAAACATAAAGGACCTCAGCTTGGTCGTCCTGCAATGTATGTGTAATGAAGAACCTGGGATTAGAACGAAATAGTTGTCTAGTGCTTCATACTTTTCAAAAGATTTACCATTAACACTAATTTGTGGAGAAAACTACCTTCGAACTAAACAAAACACCATACACAATCATTTAATAAGAAAATACTCATGGATTTTCTTATTGAATCATGTATCTTCTTTTTTGCTCATACTCTATTATCCTTTTTTGGAATTGTTGTTAGCTGTATTGGAAATATTTCCAAGGTTATGCTATGGTCCTCTTAATCAGCAAGAGATGGAATAGTTTAAGATTGGAAACCATATTCTTTACTTTACAATAATAAATTATAAAGTCATTCAACGATCACAGAATGAGACTAAACGTTTTTTGATATCGCTATATTTTAGTAATTTTTTCTTGTTTAAAGCTGTATATTAGTTTTCATAAGCTTTAAATCCTCACAAAAACCTACACGAATATTACAAAACAGTTTTTATCATGAATCAACATAAACTGGCGAAACCAGATAACTGTTTAATTTTAGATTTATGGGTCTACAGTAATGTATATCTGAGATTAGAAAGAAATCTAAATTACATGGTCTTTAGATCTGGCGGTGAACATTCCAACTTTAGATTACAACGAGAATCCGTTTCGAAATTCAATCAATTCACGATATAGTGCAATTATCATGCCAAATAAAAAAGGTGTCAGGGACTGTGATGAACATTAAATAAATCAACTCAGTCTTCTTATTAGCACAAATCCGCATTTATTAGAGTTGATTAAATGTTCCATTACGAATTTCAAATGAACATCATGTAATACACAATCTTAATATAATAATAATGAAATTGTGTACAAAAATTACTTTGTAGTAGTGTAGTTTTGTGCTATCAAGAATTTGTTTCTGTGGGGTCGATTCATCAGCACATTCTGGAGGTAATTCAACTTGACCTAAAATTCGAATAAAAAAGGTCAGAGATAAACACAACATTGCTGTGATTAGGTTTTAATCGATATAAAACGTAGCAAAATGAGAATTCAGGTACGAAGGAAATAATAGTAGTTAAAAAGCAGTCTCAGTGTGTTAAAGAACTATATAGAATATTTAGAATTATTTGTTGTCTACTATGGAGAATTAACCCTTACTTCGTTCGAACTAAACACTTTTATTATCAATGGATTATGAGATGCGAAACCAATCATGTGACTAGCATATTACTAATGAGCCAGTGAGTCGAAATCCACTAATAAGAATATTCCTACACTCATAAAATTTAAATAGACAACAATTCGTCAGTATTACTAGTTAGCCATACAGATCACAGTATCTTTGCAGAGCTTTATTAATTCTATTTTTTATGCATATAAATCAAACCCATGAGGTTTGCTTAAGACTATTTTAAGAACTTAGTATTAAAGGCCACTTTAATGAACAGGTTGAAAGTGGGATTCCATAATACAGCGTATCATTCTTGTGGATTAAAACGTATCCATAGATATCAAACAAATAAGTATTATTTGTGGTAATGATTTACCGAATGAGGCAAAAATTGTGTGAATTAACAACTTCAACTTAATCCGCCTTAATAGACAGAACATTAAATAATGTACTAATTTTCCATTTATTGACAAGTTTGGGACAAGAGTTAACTCTCTTTAGTTTATTTGGATTATATAAGTAAAATTCCAGTTGTTATCTTTATAAAATTAATGATACAAGTACATAACGCATCCAGGAGAATAAAACATCATAGAACATTAACTTACTGTGATGCATTAACAGTTCAGGTTGATTAGAAGATCAACAGGTATAAAATCAATATTTAAAGTTTAAATAGAAAAGGAAACCAATGGAAAGCAATAAGTATGACCAAGGAATCCTATTAGTTTTTTTGAGATATGGCAATAGTTCAGGATAACCTGATTAATTAACAAGCTAGAAGGAAAACATCCGAATGAATAACTATCAAAAATTTCACATCACATTTATTTTTCTAACAGGGGAAAAAGTGAACTATTACGAAAATTATTATTAGGTACGTTTGGCTAGGCTATATCAAAGTCGAATGAAGGTGAGGAGTGAAGGTATTTGAATTCAAATATGATAACTTGATGTTTAGTTCAAACCAAAAACTAAACAAGTAAGTTTGGAAGGTTATAAAAGCCCTAGTTTTATCAATATAAATGCAGCTAAACTAATGAAACAACAACATTTCACTACGATTTCTCGTGCTAGCACAAACAGCGAATGCACAAGGATATAGAATAATCCATAAGAATCAACAAAGATTGATAAGTGATAGCAGTAATACATGGGAGCAGAGCAAACAACTACAAAATACTTCACGTTCTGACCATAATGAATAAAATAATTAACACCTATTATTCTTCAGGTTATCTTTAAAAAATTGGAACGTTCGGCCATAAGGGAATCCAAAGTATTGAATAAGAAATTTAAGGCACCAACTTACGTAAACAAATAGAAAACTGAAAATGTTTATGATCAACAATATGTTCAAATAACAAATGAATCCCACTGATGAGTGAACAAAGCATATTTAACTAGGAAATTTGGATAGGTTTACTACGAAATAAGCTAAGATTCAATAGTCTGGGAATATTTCGAGCAACATTCTTTTTGGAAACATGGGTAACAATCCCGATGGGATAGTCAAGCCAAGCTAAATATTTTGTAAGCTGCAGTTATAAATACGTACACAAGAATACAACGTACAGCTGTGCACATCATAGTTAAACTGTAAAGGTTCTATGATAAAAGATTAGAAATTTCAAATGGTGAAACCTAATAGTGAAGAAGAAATATTTAAATAAGTAGTAAGCAAAAATAAAAACTGCACGTTAATATACCTAATTCTATCCCAACAACTTCGTGAATCAGAGCTTCAAATGTCATTGGAACCAAAAGGGGAGTTACGTAATCCAGATCTGTGGGATCAAATAGAAATAAAATCTACAATCAGTTAATCTTCGTAACAAGAAAGATTTGTGCATGAACTGTGGATTGAACTATCAGAAGAATAGAGTAATAATATTTTACACTACGTAAATGGCAATATATATTCTCAATGTCAGATTATTTGAATAAAACTGAGGTTAAATTTATTTTATTCAATTCTTAAAAGTGTGTTTAGTATAATAATGATGTGATCCCTTTATAACCTATTTTTTCACTGATTATTGAAAAAAGCAAGAAAGTTATGTCCCATAGTAACAATCAAACATGTTTTACCAATAATATCGTTAATGTACAAAAGTTAATATTCAATAATCCACTGAATTTTGCGCCAAATTGTGAAGACAACTCCCATGATTTACAATATAACTCATATAGATTTTCAGTAGCAAAGCAGCAGTTCATCGACTAAAGCTTCCAAACTCCAACGCAATAGTTCAAACCATCACCCCATTCACTTTTCGATTTAATCCGCTAAAAAAGTGAGATTTCAAACTAGAATAGAAACTAATACCTACTACCAATCAAATGGATAATACTAAGGCTTGAAGTGTTGGATATTAGGATATAGTATTATTGCAAACACTAAAAAATGTTGTGATACATATTGATAAAATGGCTAAACTTACACATGACGGAATGGAAGCTGCAGATGAGAATACCAGCCATTACCTTGAATCAAAATTACATGGTTAGTATTATAGTACTGAAAAATCAAGCTCAAGGCCTTAAAGCATGAGCTGGTTAAGTTGCATTTATTTACTTACTATTACTTTTTCAGTCGTTTTGATAGAAATTTATTTTTAAAGTATAATTTTGTCTCTATTGTTTACAATGAAAACAACCGTTCCATGTCTAAAGCAAGTTGTATTTTATGAAACCATTAGTTTTAGCTGGGAGAGCTTATTAGGCATTCGTAAACCTCAAAGTTTTTATATTATGAAATGACATAATCTGTAAAACCACTACAAACCAAAAAGCAAAGACACTGAAATTTTTCAACAGTAAAACAATAGAGAACAAGAATAACGATGAAATGAGTAAATAAGGAGCACAGACAAAATGCAATACGGCTTCAGGAAATAAAAGCAAAAAATCATATTTTCATACTACTGATTCTTAACATCACTATGATCTCAATTGAGAACTCAAGTCATACAATTCAGGATAGTGGTCAGTAACCTTATGAATCAGTGTTGTTTTGATTTAGCTATCATGAGATGTCGCTATTGTAAAAAACAATTAGCAATGGGTAGAATCCTTTAAAGTTGTAAGTAATCGTATCCTCATGGTATTTCCTGCCAATCAGATCATCGTCTTCTTGAAAGAGAAAAAGAACACCCATTATACATACTGTTTGAATACTGGCTTTAAAACACCGTTTAGTAATTTATTTCGAAAAAAAGGTTCACACTGATTAGACTCTATGGCAATGTAAATAATGATTAATTTTCCGTATTATTTTTAAAAGAATCACAAAAGGGAATGTATGAGAACTAACCACGACTGAATACAAGAACCAAAGGTGGTGGACGTGCAGATGTAGTTGACAATGACGTAGATGATGATTGTGAGCCCAGAATTTTTAATGAGCTGGTAGGAGTTAAGACACTTTCATCAGAAACAGATACATTACTTCGATAATTTGACTGGGTACCATTAACAGTTGAAACCTTCCTATCCAAACTGACCAGGCCTGACTGAATACAGTATAAACGAATACCAGCAGCAACCACATGGGATGCCTCTCCGAAAGCATGAATCTAGTGGTTAGTGAAGACAAGCACTAAGATTAATAAAACATGTCTACATTTACTGTTGAACAACTGCTATGATAAATATGTATCATTACCAAGGTTTGATTTGATAATTTCGAATAAATTGAGCATGCTATGATAAATGTTTAGTTGAAAACAAGAGGGAACAGTGACTTGACGATGGTAAAGGTGTAGTAAGCCTATTTCACTACTGTATTATCTATCTGTTCATTGTAAGTTAGACACTTGATCCACCATGTAATTTTATGTGAGTCTGATTGACCACATGTCAATTTTTAATCTATTCTCTCATTGGTTGTAATACACAGACAATCAGTAATTTATCCATACTTGATTAACACATAGAAATATATATGGGTTTTTAACACTCACACTCACACACATACACTCTTGTTTTCCCTGTGTGCTTGCTTCGTGTACACTTGCGAATTTTACCAATCCTTAACAACAAACTATCTCTATAATTGATGTTCGGGCTTTTGAATAATCTCGAGTAAATCCATAATTCTACTAGGAGATTTAGCCTGCATTAAATACTCAGCTAACGGGTTACTATTTATTAGAGTCAGATATAGAGGATACTAGCCTCTACAAAGGATTACAAGAATGGAATCAATTTATTTTATAGAATCGAGGATATGTAGTAATCAGATGTTTACTACTTAGAGTAAGGAAAGGAAGTACATTGACACTACTGCGACATATTTTAAGTCATGCTCTCCTACCTATGACCTATAACTGTGGATCAACAATAAAGCTCATTTTAACCTAGGCTATCACTAATAGTCTAGTTACTTATTAAAAGGGTTTTACAAATACATTACGTTATAAATTTACAATAAAAACTCAATTTTTAATCTTTAAAAAGCTGTGATTTATAATATATTGATAAAATTTACGTGTTAACTTAAACAAAGCATGATGATCTGATGAAATGACAATAAGTTTAATCACAAAAGCGGCATCAATAGACTAACATAAAAATCATACAAGCATACTAGTCTCTGGTTTTGCACAATTAATTTGTTTGTGAGCTGCTTAAAAGGTCCGTTTATACAATCATATTATATAAATGCTTATTATAGCTAAAACACTACGATGACAAGTTTTTTTATTTTACCTAGGAGTAATCTATCATCAATGTTTTTGTAAATAATATTATAGACTTACTCGACAACCCATGGGAGCTAAATCACTTTCACTCGTTAATTTAAGCAAACGTCCCAACTCCATGCCCATATAATGAGGCCAACAATAATCTTTGTATAAATAGTAGTCTGAAAATAGCGTCGGCAAATTCAATGTTAACAAATCTGTATCTAATTGAATCCAACTGAGTGATAAACTTGTGGTACATAAATGTCGACCAAGAAAACCTCGAGATTCCAAAAGATAGGTCACTGCTACAGTCTAAAAAATGAAAAAAGTTTGTTAAAATAAAAACGGGATATTTAAATTAGAATATACGGAATGGTAGTATCGTATGCTTAATTTTCACCAAATTTAGGTTAGAATTAAACTCGAAGTTTAGACTAAGAGTTTACTTAAATTATAATGTGACTACACATAGACATTCATGTAGTAGACTATATTTCCTTAGTAATAATCACTTAACATTTACGAGCATTAAATAATAGTAAATAACATATTTTATTGAGATTGGTTGCTAGTGGATAGTTTAAAGCACCTAGAGCATGTGAACCATGTGAACGCTATACATAATTACTTCATTTTGTTTCCTTATCGTTAGTAGCATACATTTAGTTGATACATCGGGAGCAAAACATGATAAAATGGAAATAACAAGGGAAGTAAATACTTTTTCCTTGATCAAACGTGCGAGGTAGATTTGATTTGATGTGCATAAGTTTATTGCATGTTTGGTACTCGATTAGGTTTTTTTCTTTTTTAATAACTCATTTTCTTCCATTAGAGAGGAATAACGTACTCGTAAAATCTCAGCGAATAAATTTGAAGCAAATACAACGTTTCGCCCGGCAATCTAGTTCAAGCTTTTTCAAGCAAATATAATCAAATATCAGAATTATCGAATATAAATAAATACATGGTTCTCTGGTTAACTGTCTACTAAATTTATTTATTTATTTATTTAAACACATAAACATTGGTACAAGGAGGCACCAAATACATATGCGCCACGTAAATCATTCGATTTGTGTGAGGGTTGGGATACTGCCCGGGTGCCCAGACCGAAGCAGGTCATCCAAACAACGTTACCAATGTTTAAAGTTGGCATTCTCTTCAATGTGTAAGAGACATGTGATATGAAACGAAGTGTGTTAGGATAACAGATTTGTGTATTTGTAAGTAGTGTGAGAAGAAATTTTATTCACTATATATTGCCTTTGATCGGTGAAAATATACAAGTCTTATATATGATATGAATCAAATATGTCATAGCATGTATAAAATGAAGATAAATAAACAGAATAAAGGCATGAATTAAAGAGGAAGAATGTATTTGTAAATGAATGTTTGTGTTATTATCATTGTTCCAGTTAATTGTTTAACATATTCAAATAAGACAACTGATTAGAAGCGTTGAATGTAATTGCTGTTATTCAAATGATAAGATAGATAAAATGGAATAAGGTGTTCAGGTTTATTCATTAATTATTAGTTACCATGGAACAGCTAATTTTATTCCATATCTCCTATTAATACTGTTTGGATTTGCCCATATGAGTAGGATTTGCTGATTTATAACCTAAAAATATCCCTGAATATGTTGGCTACCGGAATACACTAATTTTTAAACAATCGTTATTTTTCCTTTCAACCAAACAGTCTAGAGAAGGTTATTTGCGTTCAAAAGATTCCAACTCCTTATGAATTTGATTTTGTCAGAAACGCTGTTGACTTGCCTAAACATTTCTTTTAAACCATCTCATTTTATAATGATAAAAGTGTCATCCACGTATCTCAACCAGACTTTTAGTGGAAGGGGGCACATTGAGGTTGCATTTGTTTTCAATGAATGCAAGGATAAGTTAGCAACAATTGGAGAAACGGGTGATCCCAAAGCTATACCCTTTGTTTGTCCGTACAGATCTCATCCAAAATTGAAAACAGTTGAATGTAAACATAGATCCAGCACTTTAATATTATCTGAGGGACCTAATGGACATCGTTAAGCTGTGTCAGAATCTAAGAGATTATGTACAATATCGAGAGCTTTCTTAATAGGAACGTTGGTGAGCAAAGAGCATACACCAAAACATGCCATTAATTCATCTTCTATGCGGATAGTAGTGATGTCTCCCAATTGTTCAATTTATTTTTTTATTTAGCGATCAGTCTCAGTTTAATGTTTCGTTCAACTCTTTGGAATATGATTTTCACCCCGATAATTCCTTACACGAGGAATGAATAATATGGTTAATAACTCATTCTTAAGGTATTTGGGTATCAGCCACACGAAGTATGAAGGGTGGTGATACTACTCAGTTGCCCAAACCGAAGTAGGTGGAGTAGGGTTCAAACTTGCGACTTTGTGGCTGAAAGCTGAAACTTTTATCCACTGTTAAGTTTTGATAACTCAGTCAAAACTCTCATCCAGTAATAGATATCTACGTGACTGTCAAATATGAAACTACCAGGTTAATGGATAAGCAGACTTAAATTGATAATCAGCTATCAATCATGATGAAGTGCATGAAACTGAAGTCTAATTATATAAAATTAACGATTATATCTAACTCCACCTGGAGTCCCTCGGCGGCTACTGCCGGTCCCAAGCCCGGATAAAGGAGGAGGGTTGGGCATGAGGTTAGCGTCCCCATCCCGTAGAAAACTAACTCGCTAAAAAAACGCTAACCAGAAAAAATTAATCAAACCTTCTAAACTCTGCCCTGGGAGTCAGAAGGTCTTCATTTAGAATTATGACGCCTCATGATGAAAGCCGAATTCCTTCGGAAGTTACGAGGCCGATGCCCCTTCTGACAATCAGAGTGACCATTTATTTAGGTACATGGAATGTTCGTACAATGTGGGACACCGGGAGAGCCTTCCAAATTGCTGCAGAAATGAGAAGATACAACCTGGAGGTACTTGGGATCAGTGAAACACATTGGACACAAGTTGGACAACAACGACTAACTTCAGGAGAGCTCCTGTTATACTCCGGCCATGAAGAAGGAAATGCCCCACATGCACAAGGAGTTGCATTGATGCTGTCTGAACAAGCACAAAATGCGCTTATAGAATGGGAATCTCATGGACCAAGGATCATCAAAGCCTCCTTCAAAACAAAAAACGAGGGCATTTCAATGAACATCATCCAATGCTATGCGCCTACCAACGACTACAATGAAGAAGCTAAAGATTAATTCTACAATAGGCTGCAGTCAATCATCGAGAAGTGCCAAACGAAGGACCTGACCATTCTGATGGGAGATTTCAATGCCAAGGTTGGAACGGACAACACTGGATATGAAGACATCATGGGACGACACAGACTGGGAGAAAGGAACGAAAATAGTGAGAGATTTGCAAACCTATGTGCCTTCAATAAACTGGTCATAGGTGGCACCATATTCCCACATGAACGCATACACAAAACCACATGGACTTCACCGGATCACACCACGCAAAACCAAATCGACCATATTTGCATCAACAAAACGTACAGGAGGACTATAGAGGACGTGAGAACCAAGAGAGGAGCTGATACAGCATCAGATCATCACTTGCTGATCACCAAGATGAAATTGAAACTCAAGAAACACTGCACAATAGGGCGGACAATATCACAAAAGTTCAATACGGCCTTTCTTCAGGTTACTAACAAACTCAACAAATTCAAGATAGTCCTCAGCAACAAGTTCCAGGCCTTTCATGATCTACTCAATGGAGAAGGAACTGCTATGGAGAGCAACTAGAACAGGATCAAAGAAGCAATCACTTCAACATGTCATGAGGTCCTGGGTCACGAGAAGCACCATCACAAGGAATGGATCACTGTTGGTACACTGGATAAGATTCAAGAAAGGAGGAACAAGAAGGCAGCAATCAATACCAGTCGAACAAGAGCAGAAAAAGCCAAGGCACAAGCCGAATACACAGAAGTAAACAAACAAGTGAAGAGGAGCATCAGAATTGACAAACGTAAATATGTGGAAGATTTAACAACGACGGCGGAAAAAGCTGCAAGAGAAAGGAACATGAGACAACTGTATGACACGACAAAAAACTCTCTGGAAATCACCGTAAACCAGAGTGATCAGTGAAAAGCAAGGAGGGCGAGGTAATCACCAACATTGAAGAGCAACGAAACAGGTGGGTAGAATACTTCAAAGAACTCTTGAATCGACCAGCTCCACTGAACCCACTCAACATCGAAGCAGCACCCACTCACCTCTCAATCGATGTTGGCCCACCAACAATTGAAGAGATAAGCATGGCCATCAGGCAAATCAAGAGTGGCAAAGCAGCAGGACCAGACAACATTCCAGCAGAGGCACTAACAGCAGACGTAGCAGTAACTGCAAGGATACTCCACATTCTCTTCAATAAGATTTGGGATGAGGAACAAGTACCAACAGACTAAACCAAAATACCGAAGAAAGGCGATCTCAGCAAGTGTGATAACTACAGGGGCATGACTCTCCTCTCAATACCGGGAAAAGTTTTCAACAGGGTATTATTAAGCAGGATGAAGGACTGAGTAGACGCCCAACTTCGTGACCAACAGGCAGGATTCCGTAAGGATAGATCGTGTAGAGACCAAATCGCAACTCTACAGATCATTGTGGAACAATCAATTGAATGGAATTCATCACTCTACATCAACTTCATTGACTACGAAAAAGCATTTGACAGCGTGGACAGAACAACACTATGGAAACTTCTTCGACACTACGGCTTGCCTCAGAAGATAGCCAATATCATACAGAGTTCATATGATGGATTACACTGCAAAATCGTTCATGGAGGACAGTTGACAAAGTCGTTCGAAGTGAAGACCGGTGTCAGACAAAGTTGCTTACTCTCAGCTTTTCTCTTTCTCCTGGTGATCGACTGGATCATGAAGACGTCAACATCTAGAGGGAAGCACGGGATACAATGGACATCTAGGATGCAGTTGGACGATCTAGACTTCGCAGATGATCTGGCCCTTCTATCCCAAACGCAACAACAAATGCAGGAAAAGACGAACAGTGTGGCAGCAGCCTCTGCAGCAGTAGGTTTCAATATACACAAAGGGAAAAGCAGGATTCTCCGATACAACACAGCATGCACCAATCCAATCGCAATTCACGGAGAAGATTTGGAAGATGTAAAAACCTTTACATATTTGGGCAGCATCATTGATGAACAGGGTGGATCTGATGCAGATGTGAATGCGCGGATCGGCAAAGCAAGAGCAGCATATTTACAACTGAGGAACATATGGAACTCAAAGCAACTGTCAACCAACACCAAGGTCAGAATTTTCAATACAAATGTCAAGACAGTTCTACTGTATGGGGCAGAAACCTGGAGAACTACGAAAGCCATCATCCAGAAGATAAATGTGTTTATTAACAGTTGTCTACGCAAATTACTTCAGATCCGTTGGCCGGACACTAGTAGCAACAACCTACTGTAGGAGAGAACTAATCAGATCACAGCGGAGGAAGAAATCAGGAAGAAGCGCAGAAAGTGGATAGGACACACATTGAAGAAAGCACCCAACTGCGTCACAAGACAAGCCCTCACATGGAATCCTCAAGGCCAAAGGAGAAGAGGAAAACCAAAGAACACATTACACTGAGAAATGGAGACAGACATGGGAAGAATGGACAACCATTGGATAGAACTAGAAAAGAAGGCCCAGGACAAAGTGGGTTGGAGAATGCTGGTCGGCGGCCTATGCTCTATTGGGAGTAACAGGCGTAAGTAAGTAAGTAAGTAACGATTATATCTACAGTTATGTTTGTCGATCGTAGCATGAAAGTAAAACATTGTGGTGTAGCGGAAATCCATTTCTTTAGCCTAAAATAACAAATTTTCGGGATATGGATGATGATTAGACTTTCCCTATATTCTTCACTTAAAAATTTTGTTGCTTGTTTAAATAACCTTTCTAGATAGTAAATTAAAACGGATGCGAAGCGAAAGTGTCGTATTTTCACATAAATTGCCAAGTATATGACGAGTGCTCGCGTACTTAACCCAGAAATCACTTTAACAAATACTTGAGAGAAGAGTCTTTAGAAAATCAAGCAGAAAAGTGTGTAATATATCAATGCTCTGAACAATTAACCACAAAAACGTTAGATACCTCTTTGGGGACAAATATTATCAATCTCGTTCGTTTGATATTATTCGATTGATCCACTTCACAATGTTTAATTACCGATAAGCATGAGCTAAACTCTGGTGGGACCATATAAGCAATCCTAAATCGGATAAAAAACCTCATATTAGTGAAACTGTAAGACAAAAGCATATAGAACTCGTTTACATTTCAGTCCCTAAGATGCCTTAAGTATACGAAGATAAGTACCTGAGATATTCTATGCACCTGTGAATTACCAAGACTTGATGTTGAGAGCTGTGTTAATCTGCAAACGCATAGAATAATCATTATGACTGATGGAAATAAACTTGGTACTGAGGTAGTAATTTGATACGTAGTTCATGGACAGGACGATGTGAAAGAGAGTCTTTGTCTTCACTTTAGCTGGCTTAATGTGATGAGTAATTAGACTACGAGTAAACTTTGAAGTTTAAACACCAAGATAGAATATTTAATTGACTGAATGAAATTTGGGAGCACATTAGTCCCCAGAGCGGGCCGAAGTAGTGTTATGTTCAAAATTAGTCAGAGGTTGATGCGTAGTTACAAATCCATCAAAGGTTAGTTGGCAGTTTAATACAATGGAATTTATCATCAAATTCGGTTGGCGAATTTCCCGGAAATAAAAATGTAGATGACGACAAAAAGTTATAGTGAGTCATTGGAGAAAGCTTACTGCTAAACTTGCTAGCATTCAAGATAAATTATCTAGTCACAAATCCGATCGACAAAGACTTAAGTGTCTCGAGATCCTGTTCTTCAGCATCAGAAATGAGGGCCTTTGGTTTTTAGTCATATCCTAAATCAGTCAATAATGTACAACGCACGGCGTGCCATAAATATGTATCAACTCAATTTGATACGCCATTTGCTTGCTTAAACAATCGTGGTAATACAGCTGGTTCAAAATACTACAGGAAAGCTATGTTATCCAATAAAACAAATACACCTTGAAGAAAACTAACTTACCTCTCATAGTCCGCCTTCGGAGGACTTTCAGCAATTTTGAACACCTTCGTGACCGACAACTGTCTTAAAATGGACATGTTGGCCACACGGTCGATTGCTTTCAACAGCTGCGCATCCACAAGAAGAATCTTCTGCCCTGGCAACTACAATCTAATCATCATGAGTTGAAAGTTACTTTACCAGAGAGAAGACCCTTCCAAACTCTCTGAGAACGGACTGACGTAAGCGTTCAGTTGTGAATGACATTTAAGCAAGGTTCAGTTGCTAGCAGGTTCGGGTTTAACATGAGAGCATTTCGCAGTTTTAGAGCGAGAATCTGAGAGAAAACATGAAAGTGTCAGTCAACAATCTATTTGTTAAAGAAAGCAACTGGAAAATATAAACATGTGTATGCGTAACACAATATGCTCTTAAAGTCACCTAATCTGATTTGGAGAGAAAATATTATCCGAGAGTTTATATGCGCCCAAAGTGTATTGTATAATCACTATAAAAGGATGTGCACATCATCATAACATAGAACACGTCAAATCTTGCCTATAAAACCAAATTTAGAGTCCAGATTATGACAGTCCTGTATCTGAGCCATATAAACGTTGATTTTGAAGGATTGCTGAAAGTATACACATGGGAATCTGTACAATCGTCAATTTGAGACAATTTCGTAATTAAAAGTGGGAGTGGAGTAAGTTTTAGAATAGATTCATTTGCAAAACTTTTGATGATAAAACATCTTTTGGAGGTTCAGTGACACAGTTTGAACCTTTGACGCTTATTGTAATACTCCGCATTAAATGGTCAGTTAGTTATTTTTCGAAGTATACAAACACCAAGAGCCGCCACACCACTATACTACATACAATATAACGTTCAGTCTTTAGTAAGTTTGCGTATAGCCTGAAAGCATCTTGTGTTTGGGGGAGTGTTAGGGGTAGTAAGTGAGGTCAACTGGAGCAGAAAACATGATAAAAAACGGGCCGACGACTCACTAGGCACACAGAATCCCTTTGGGTAAAGAAAAGAGATTAAGTCTACATGTATACGTACACACTAGGAGTTGAGCTATTATCGAGAGTTTGGGTTATTACTCTATAGATTTTTCATCACCAACCGACATCATTTATGAAGCAAAAGTGGTTAGTTAGTAAGAGTTAAACTGGAGTTCCGAATTGGGTTAACGGATTAGTATCGGTTTTCAACAAAAACTGACGTCGGATATAACGCCATACTGTACCACTTTCCTGTTTGCAAACTTGTGAGATTTAGAGCATGATAGAGAAAGGGAGAACACTATCTAGCTTTACTAAACGCTCGTGATTAGACGGTGAATTAGATTAGGTATGCTGAAGGTCTGATTTAGAAGCAATGTATCATTTAATTTAGCTAATGCACCATCTAGAATTCACTTTGTCACTGTATAATAGATATTCTCAGTGATTATAAACATTCTAATAACCAATTGGTAATATTTAAATGATACCAGTATTCATTGGCTAATAATGACATATACGTTACCCATCACTAAGCACTAAACTTTCAGCAAAATAATTGAGGTATTACATGAATTTCGATCGGTTAACTCAAGACTGTCGTTATACTATGCTTTTACCGTTGATGTCGAAAACTTCGGACGTGTTACGCGAACTACATTCGAACTCAGAGGAATTTACTCGGCCTTCATTAGTAGTGTGTCTAAACAACAAAAAGATTCAGATTTGTGTAGTAATGACAGAAGGTCTACAAACTATGTTGTTTTATTCCAGTATGTTTCTGTGAGTGTGTAGTCATCTCCTGAGAGAGCCAACTTTAGGTGCGTACACCACTGCTTCAAGTAACAGGTTTCAAGTTTTTAATACTCAGTGTGAAAACCTGTATGCTTTGTTCTTTCTTGGCTTTTCTATTCGCCTGCTATGTTCTGTGAGATGTCCCGATCTAGTAGGAAGAAAAAGAGAGAATATGTTAGGCCTGAAATGATTTCTTAGCATTCTATAGATCAAGATTAAATCTCCTTTTAGTCTGCAATAGGACAGAGTAAAGTGGTCCAGCTTTTCAAGCCGCTCTTTGTATTGTAAACTTAGGAGTTCTAAAATTTCACTGGTGACTGCCCTCTGCATATTTTCCAGGATATCCGTGTCACCTGTTAAACAGGGGGTTGCAGCCTGAGCGCAGTTCTCAAGCTTAGTTCTCACTAAGGTTGTGTATACTGTAGTGAACATGATAGAATCTAGCTTGATGAATGTCCGTTTTAAAGCTAAGAGCGTTCTAAACCAGTTAGCTGAAACTTCCCGGCAGTGGGCCGTCGTCTTAAGATCATGACTCACTGTCACCTCAAGATCCTTATGAAACCGGACCACGGGTAATGGCACTTCCCCTATGCTGTACCTTTCAACCTTTGTATAAACAAAATGTACGTAGATACATCTTGCATTGATATGCACCAGCCACTCTTTAGACCAGTTAATCACATTATTTAAGTCTGCCTGCGTCTGGCCAGATTTTACATCGTCAGTGTATAATAACATTGGGAACCGTACTATACTTGGAAGATCATTTATATACAGTATTAAAAGTAAAGGACCTAGGACAAAACCTTGAGGTACTCCACTAAGTACTGGTCTCCAGGTGGAGCACTTCGAATTTATTTTTACTTTCCGTCCACGATATACTAGGAAATCCTTAAGTCACTTTAGAAGACTTCCAGCAATACCAAGATTTTCTAACTTCAATAGCAGTCTTCTAGTTGGCACCTTGTCAAAAGCCTTACTGAAGTCTATGTAGACGACATCCAGTGAGTTTCCGTTGTCTAGCGCCTTTATCCAATAACCCCTTCCTATTAGGAGGTTTGTTGTACAAGATAAACCCGTCCTAAAACCATGCTGTTCTCTGTTTAACAGGTTATTGGTAACCATAAATGTCATTATAGTCTATTTGACTATTCTTTTCAGTATTTTAACAACAACACTGGTGAGGCTTACAGGTCTGTAGTTCCATGGAATTTGTCTTGGTTCTGTTTAATGTATGTGAGTAACGATTTTGTATTCCCATTGCATAGGCAACACACTCTAGTCAAGTGATATGTTGAATATCACAGTCAATGGGGCCGCAATATATTGTGCAATATGTCTCAAGATTTTGGTGTGCAGTTCATCTAGTCCTATTGACTTTTCCATATCTTAGGTGCTAAGAGCCTTAAGTACCTCGTCTTAATCAAAGTCCACGGTGAGCAGGTGGTTTGTTGACTATTTATTTGGGTCTGGTTAATTGTCTAGAAGAGGCCCCGAGTGAAAACTGCCCCAAGATAGTTAGCCATAGCCCCTAATTTTTAGCGATCTTCCTCTATCATTTCACATTCATGCCCTTCCTCAAGTAGGTTGGGAATCCAATGACTCAACCTTGTTCTGTAATTTATGTACGAGAATATTCTCTTGGGCTACCTGCGTGTGGATTGTGTCAAATGCATTTCATATTATCTCTGTGCTTCCCGAATTTTAATTATACACGTGTTTCTTACAGACCTGAATCGTTCCGTCGTACCTGCTGTGCCAAGGCTGATAGCAACATTCTTCTTTTGCCTTAGTGAACGTCGAATATCCCGGCCTATCCAAGGATGGTTATGCTTCTTATTGTTTGGGAGTGTCCAGATTATGTATGGTTGAGTTACCCGAATGTATAACTGCCCGAAATTAGTACGTGCTTCTTGTACTGATGTCCTAGAGTCAATTTGCCAGTTTTCAGCCGATGCTGCGGAGTTTATTGCCCCCATATCGGCCTTTCATATATTAGGGCGGGCCTGCGCAACTGTTTGATAGGCAATCTGAGCCATGAATTTAAATAATATAACTGCATGATTGCTTTCCCCTAGTGGTGAAGGATGGGTCTTTTGACAGACGTCATCACCGTGTGTAAAGACTAAATACAAAAGAGAGGAGGGGCTTCTTAAGTCATATCTTGAGGGATCCCTAATGGTTTGGAATAAAGCTAATGCAATCCAAGTTTCTGACAGTTTGAGATCGAATGACGTTGTCGATGACCTTACTTCTAAATTTACCCAGCTTATAAACGGTGAATTAAAGTCGCTTACTATAAGGCTTATACTCCTAATACACCAGGACTCAAGTTTCTTTAGGAGGAAGTCATCTACTACACATTCTGAACTGCCATATACCACAACTAATTCGAAATCATGCCGTCTACATTTCAGCTCGCAACGCACCAATTCACATGTCCCAGAATCATGTGACACTGTCTCAACTGCTCGTTTGGTTAAGGTACTTTTCGTGTACACGATAACTTCGCCTCCCCTACGGTTTAAGCTATCAGTCCTATGCGATAAAAAACCAGTCAACTGAATTTCATTAACGAACACTTCTGACGTTAACCATGTTTCCGAGACAGCATTAATATCCAAATTTTCTTTATCTACCATTGTCTTGAGCTTCGCCATTTTACTTAGTAGGCTGTGAGCATTTGTGTGGCACACCTTTAGTTCTGTGGAGATCTTTCCCTTACCACGCAGAGTAGTCTGTGAATCGTCTTGCTCTGAACTTTTTTAATTTGAGAATCCTTATGAACGATGTTTCTTTCACCGTTTCGGCGGCGCTTATTAGCTTCCACTCCTTCAGTTTGTCTCTTAATACGATCAGCTAAGGTGAGATCCTCACTGGCGTATATTCCGGATCCAACCAGTTTGCGTGTTACCTAGAATTAGGTTCCTTTCTTCAACCGTGGCAAATGTAACCTTCAAGAGGCGGCTATTCTGAGGACTTTCTGAGTCCAACTTTTTTCCTATTCTATAAAGCTTATAGATGCTAACTCCTAAAACTGTTTCTAGGAGTATCTTGCTTATTAAGGGCTTAATATGACTGAGGTCGTGCTCAAATATGGCCTTTCGTTCCTTATCGGAAGATTCGCTTAACTTATGAAAAATGACTGACCTCCCAGCTAGGTCCGTCTTGACACGTTGTGGAATTTTAGTTCATGAAGTCGTATCTACCCTGCAATCCGATTTCAATTCAGCGTCAAACGCAAAAGTTACATTCCATTTTCTTACTTTTCAATACTTCGGAGTGGCTGTGAGCCACTCATTTACCTTATTTTGTCTCTTGATCACATTCTCTACAGTGCTCAGACTTGGCTCCCATGTAGTTTGTATTGCATTGATATGTGAATCCGGAACTGAGCCCGCATATTCATATGCCTCAGTGCTGTCCATAGGTAGTTTTTTCATCTCAATGCGCTTCTTCCTTTTCCTTGTGAAAATGCCTACATCCATATGCTTATCTGCTTCCCCGGTGGGGTCCACCTCTATGGTCTCATTTAAGTCTAGAGCTGGGCTCATGATAATGCTCTCAACTTTACAGTAGATCTACCAGCTTTTGCCTCGTTCAAGAGGATTTCATGTCAATTTTATGGATAACTTTAAATTGCGATTGTTACAGAACAACTCATGAAGCATGTGTCTCCTCACCCTGTAATTTAGGTTATGGAAGAGCAAAGCAAATATTGTATGGTTTGTCTGTGAAAGAGAATCTAATAGATCGTGTGTCTATATCAAACTTACCCGAATGCAAACCTATGTTATGTTAAGTCAACAACCTGACTAGCTGTACAATCGAGCCCCTGAAGATAAGTAAAGCGCTGATACGGACAAGTTATGTGCCTGATTTGAATTCTTAAGCTAATTCGCATTCGATAGTATCGCATATACCTTTGAACTTATAGGAAAGGTGAGGAGGGAACCTCACAAAATTATGATTGTTAATAGGGAACCGGAATTTAGAGAGTTGACTCTCATTATTGAAGACAGTCAGATTAGCTGGAAATCAGTATGCAGTAATAGAAAATCATACAGTAACGAGTGATAGAAACAATCATGAAAATCGCTTTGCCAGTAGTACTACTCTCAGATTGGTTATCCGAAAATCATGTTTGTAACTTATGCCTTTCGTAAGGCTGGTTATGGGGGTATCATAAAACACAAAATTGCCAGAGCCTGGGCTTGCTAAAAGAGACATGGAGTTAAAAAGACGTGAATTTTGCTATATACGTGTTGAAGATCATCACATAATGTGAACATGCAGCTCGAGATTCAATTACGATATTGAAGACTGAAAAATCAAATATTATTCGTTTCTTCATACCATTGTGAATAAGAAGTGTCCAGGGGATTTGTTTGAGGAGTGGAATTTATTATAAATTGTGATAATTAAGAGTCTGGATTATAGTTCAAACTGAGAATCCCAGAAATAACGTAATTTATCTAAAAAGTATTAAATGAGCACAAATGAATGTATTGTATTTGGAATTCGAAATCCAGTAATCATCAAGTACAAAGAAATCATTAGTTCATACAAACTCCATATAAATTTATCGTGGTATTATCCCGGTTACACTATTTTACCAAAGTGAAATCTTGGAGACTTTGATTTTTCTGGATAGTGGTTGGGATAATTCTCTCATATCCAAAGAGGAAACTGATCAGTAAGAGTAAATGTAAATGTAAATGTTCATAGTTAATCAGAACGGCAGTGAGTAACACTACCTCAAAAAACGTTCGTAAGTTTTCTTTCGACAGTAAAAGATCAGTTGGGATTGGTAAAGCTTATACTATCAGTTGGCCACTGATCAGTGATGAGGATACTCTCACTAATCAGCAGTTAAGATAGTAGAGTCATCAAAAGAATATAAC